CGTTACGTATTAGGCGAACGAAAGAAAAAAAAAGAAAGATTTTGATCGAAATCCTCATGACGCAGATAATGCCGTTGCCCTGCGTGACGATTAATTAAATAGCATGATTTTCTTGTTAAATGTAACCCCCGCGATAAACCACGACGAGGGCGATAGAATCTAAAGAGGCGGTGTCCGGCGCCTCGGCGCCAGTCGTCCCTCTGTGGTCAGGCAGAAATTGTAGGCCAAATGAAATGCAGTGGACAACCCGGAGAAAAAAGAAACAGAGGATTCCGATCTTTCGAGTGATTTTCCAATTGGAAGCTCCAATTAAACATTGAACTCTTTAGGATAATAAAACGACGAAGAACTCGCAATGAACGATTTAGAAAATTAGTGATCCTCTTACTCTCAAGATTTTCCATATTTCTATTCTATCAGGTACTATAAGAATATTGGTACTTTTAACTTGTGATCAATTTGACTTCTGGAAGATGCAACTATTAATACAACAGCAGCTACAATATTTTTGAGTCACTACTTCAGTAATTATAAAGATTGTTTTCTAATTTTTCAGTTTCATTTATGATATAAAATATATGAGTATCTCGGTCTACATTGTTATTACGAATGCTTTATCAGGACACTAACATGAAAGAACGTATCGACCATATGAAATACTTCCAAGGAAATTGGTAATACTGCAAAACTATCAATAAAGGGGACGTAAAAAAAGGGGGGGAGGGATCGTATGTATATCTGGCAAGAAAGCAGAAAAGAAGCGATTTAACCGAGAATCGAGAGTGGGAAAGGCTGCATCGGCCGAGAAGGTGGCAGCGCCATAAATTGTTAAGATCAGTGTAGATTGACGGTGATTGAGACTAGATTACAAAGACCTTGAGTCGCTCAACACTCGTCGCTGGATTCATTGACCGTTATTTCTTTGAAAAATTTTGCCAAGCCTCGGCTAAAAATCGAAAACGTTCCAGGCCCGGACCTTGACAACTTTCATGTGCATTCGCATCCAAATAACCGAATTAAGTTTCCCCGACCTTTCGGGCAAAAATATTGGATGCCAAGCCGATAAAGTAATTCGACAAAAATTCTGAAGAGAAAGAAGATGGATAAAAACGATTGGACAAAGAAAGACAAAAGGGAGAAAAAGATGATGATATATGCTAACTTTTAATGATAGTGGAACTAACAGGTTACTTTAAAAGTGTTTTTGTGCACATCTGCAGAAAGAAATCATTGATGTAATTTTCGATGAATTTTGAGCTAAGAAGTGTATCAACTGTAGTTTTTATTGCCTCGTTATTGTTGAATCTTTCCTAGTTTTCAAACAGAATCATAAAGAGCAATACGGAGGCTGGGATGAAATTTCCGTACAATATTGTTTCTAGTTTTCCAGAAATGAAACAGAAAAGATCTAATTTTGCAATAGACCACGTGTAACGTGAATAAGAACTGCAATCTACATGTTCTTTTAATTTAAAACGACAACGAGAACATACTGACGATCAAACTTTATTCTTTTTTTACATTATGCATATCTCCTTCTTTTTGATAAAATTTATCTGCAAATATGCAAAAAACTTCTGAAATGTTTCAATAAAAATTTTTGAGAGTAGAATGGAAAGCAACAAGATGGTCGTTACAGCGTGGAAAGTATGCAAGTCACTGCGTCAATACAAATCGATAAAATCGATTATTATTCAAATGGCTCTGCATCGGTATTAAAACGCTCGTTTAGATTCACTGCGCTAGCCGTGGCTCGTTCGTTGCCATCAATTAAACATGTACACCGAAGCCAACGCGTTCGTAGAACTTTGGACAATTTCGATAAGGGCTCAATTGATTTATTTTCCTTGCGTTTAACATTCATTAATTAATTCTCTTGCGCACTTTTTATTAACAACATATTGCAACACGTTTGTAGTGTTAATTGTATGCGTGCAACGATTAAGCAATCGACGTTTAATGTTGCTTGTGCTTGACAAGAAGTAATTGCTTTTTATTCATCCCGTAGTAATCAATGTTCATTCATTATTATCGCATATTTTCTACCGTTATCGTATTACAAGTAACAATATTTGTCATATTAATAATACTATTGCAGTATACTGCCAAGAATATAGACTCGCCGAAGAATTTGCAGATAATTGTTCTTTATCTTGTATAATTATACATTGCTGCGATCTTTCAATTTTTTTCTTTATAACGTGTCAACCAAAAAAAAGAACTTTCAATGTACTAAAAAAAAAATCTTTTTAATTTTAAAAAGCAAAGGAGAATATTTCGTACGATATTTCATCAAATCCAATTCACGAAAATAATAATTTTCATCGATAGCGGTGAAACCTATAGGCATAAGAAAAGGGAACTAGTTCCACGTAATTTGGACACATTATTTGATTCGACAAATATCTCGGTGATACGTGGCCAATTATAGCAACGTTTAAGTTAAGCGTTGCGAGATATTAAGTTTACGATTGATGAAATTTATGTAACTATCATATAATGATAAATAAAAATGATGAAGACGAAGAAATACTACAACTAGACCATAACGTTGGTCAATGACCAATGATTCCAACGAGAGAACCATTACTAACTGGTATTATCGAGAAACGAAGAGATTTTCAAGGACGTGATATCTGGTTAAATGTGTTTCTAGATTCTGCAGACGATCGTTGAAATTGTTATCTCGCTTGCGAGGCGTTGAAATTTTCAAAGTAAATTTCTAAGCAGATAGTAAGCCTACATTCTGAAGAATAAACAGACAATCATAATTATTAAAAATGAAAGAGAAACGAAAAAAAAGACATACTTCGAGAACGTCAGAGCCACGTGGCTCGTCGACTGTCATAACGAAGGAGAATGACAATTAGAGCTCTTATCACGACCGAGCTCTGTGTGACCAGTCTTTATTTTAAATATTTTCATACCTTCTTGGTATCGTAATTGAAAGTAGAAAAATCGGTCGATAATCCATAAAAAGGAGAAATAACAGATTCGTTGTTCCTTCTAATATTGTCTTCCTATTATTTACACATGTCGACGATAAAGAAATTTCTAAGCATTTCGAATTATAAATTATATCCGTCGTCGATAGTTTGAAAGAATGAGAATTTGATGTTCATGAAACTTGGAAGTATCTCGCAAACTTTCCAATTCCATTGTTGTAAAAACTGCATGTCATAAGCTCGATCGATCAAGTTGTAGGTGCATGATACGGTAAGGAACGGAAAAACGCAATACGAAGACAGAAATATCGCAAGGTATCGGACGCGGAATCAACTTGATGCGTTCCGCCGGGTTAAAAACATCGATCCGCGTCTTTATCGTCATGGTAACACATGCACTTATACAATTATCCTTGTGTGAAGCTATTGGATGTATGTTTTTATACGACATAGTGACGGTATGCACGCATACGCTCGTTTACACAAGTGCGCCGATTACGTATGTACGAACGTATACGTACCTCTTCTCTATTTGTTATCTTACTCTATCTTTCTTGCTCTATTCTTATCGCAGCATGCTAAGAATGCATTTTCACGGTTTCGCTACACGCACTTTCCATGTGACGTGCGTGAAACGAACTCGGTTTGAAATAGCTTCAAAGTAGTTTCGTGACTGAAGATTACGAATTAAATTTGTTAGATTTGGCCTGTAAAATTAACAATATATGTAAACTATTGTTAACATATTAGACATAAAATACTATATATGTATATAGCGATGAATACATATATTAAAGCATATATTTTGAGGAAAAGTGAAAACAGCTTTTGCTCACGAATGTAAATATTGCACGAGTATAAAGCAAAATGAAATGTCATTAATATTAGAAATGTACAATATCAAGCATGTTATATGCAATGTGTACGGATGACATCTAACAAATTAATGTTGTGTATCTATGATACGTATAATTTCTAATGAATCCACACAATTAAATATTAGTTAATTTACGACATTTACAGTGACTAATATTCTTGGAAGCTTGTTTACTTAGAAATAAGAACAGGAAAACTATTATTCGTAAAAACTGCTACGCAGTTAATGCTTGAAAGCTGATGTCTGACAAACTCTCGCGATAATATTGTACTAACAATAAGGGATGATGTTTTATTCGTGTAAAGAAAATGACTATTAACCGATAACGACGACGTTTCATCGTCAACAACAGTGCATGTCAAACGAAGGGACGAAGTTCAAATTTATTGATACAGAACACCATACAGGCGTTCGATGTATAGTCAACATTGACTCATCTTCAAAAATAAGAAGTCTCATTATCACATCCTATTAGTTAATTCATACCGAGACCGAATAAAAGGCAATCGACTGATATCTAAAGTATCAGAAGCAACTGTGAATCATGTTTACTAATACATGCAACAAAATACATGCAAGCGTGTGAGGCATCCATATTGAAAACAGCATAACCTCACTAGATGATTTGTAACGTATGTTATCCTTGACAGTAATGTATACGATATTCTATCTTAGTCACAAGATTATCTAATTCAATGCTTATTATAATAAATGCTTATTATTATAAAAAATTAGTCGCCATCTTTTTGAAGTAAACTACAGTACAAAATTCTTAGTGTACACACGTCTTTTGTGCATAACCTTGATAATTGACATCACTGTAATCGCGCAATCTGTTATTAAATTTCACAAACAGTACGAAAAATTTAACTTTTTCTCTTACAGATATTTATCTTGACATTATACGCTTCAAATAAGAACTTCAAATGAATTTTTTCGACATGCAAATAGAAATATCGTTTACATCGAGTACACTTTTGTTTAAAATTTCGCTTATAGTTGTTTACTAGATGTAACTCAAAAACCACGTAATTAGTCTCCACATGTTCGGCCATATTGTGTTGATACCATGGAAAACGATTAGAGGGACTGAGAACCGAGAACGCAGCAGGGCTATCTCGTCGACTAGCAGGCGAACCATTTCGTAAATTTCCTGGCATACCAATCTATCCACTTACCGGCTGTGGCTTTGGTGTTTTTCCCATGATGCCTCCAGTTCTTCTTCTCCGATAATCGGCCTTTCAGTAACATCGTACACGCACTTTATCACGATTTTTATCACTTGTTTCACACTGCCTACGCATTATTATTCACTCGCATGGCAGCCATTTGCCATCTACCTACTCGGCTGTAAAGCCTGCCTCGCCGTTTCGTTTAGCCTTTGGCTTTCGGCCATTCGACAGCCTGTGACGTCACGTAGATCATGACGTACCCACGTCCTTTTACGTTTGAATCATTTAATTCTAAAATTAGAGAGGTACAAAAAGATTATAAAGTAGTTTTTCACATACGATTCTCTTTGCTAAACTTTCCGACATTTAATATTTATACGTGAGGCAAAATTATCATTGTAGAAATATTATATATCTCGTCCCATAATGAACGGGGCCCCGCGATTTATTATAAATTTTGTGGTACTGGCAAGATCTCGAAATAATCTGTTTTATCGATAGTTGGTTGTATTTAAATCGTGAACCACAGACGAGATATTTAATTAGAAAGTTACGGTGCTAAATCGAGTTTTAAAAAAATTAAAAATTTTAACTAAAATTTATAAAACTTACTTAATTTATGTATCAGAGAAGAGCACTTAAAGGGAACTTGTAATAAAAACTAACGAAAGTGTGTGTAGGTATGGCCTTTTACTTCACACAATCAGGTTTTCGTTCGAACACACTTATCTGAAAATTTAAACGAAAAATATCAAAGGCATTTAATATAACATTAAGAAATTGGTTTCCCGCGACATACTTTTTGATCCAATAGAAATTTATTTTGCAATAATAGTCTTGCAAGAGTTGCGTTGCTTCTGTCGCTCCGCTATAAGACAATTACCAAAGCTCACAAGAAACCATATGCACATTGTCGTAACCATATTTTATATATATATATAAATTTATATATATATATATATGTATATACCATCGCGTAGAAATCTATATATATTATATATCATAACGCAAATTGAAAAAGACAATCATAACATACATACGTCGGGCATCTATATAATAATTATACGAAATACATTTTGCAAAAGATCACAACAATTATGCAAAAATAGACGTCATTTGTCACGTGTCATAATCGCAAGAAAAATCAAAACTATTTTTTTCTTGATATTGTAACACGTGATAAATTAACCGCAACACTCGGCAATATAGATTACAGTTGCACATTCGTCGACGTAAAAGTTCTAATGTTCTTTTTACCTTTTCAATCTCTCTTTTTTTTTTTAGTAATTTATTTTGTCTCGCATTAACACTTCTGTAATAGCCCCTTGTAAAAATTTTATGTGTAGTTTCAATATATAAGATCGTAGGGTATCGGTTGCAATATCACTGCGACTTGTTTTTTTTTACCCCTTTTATTTTATGAAGATACCGTGACCAGAGCTAAAAGTTTCCTTCCGTTTATGGTATCCTCATTATATATATATATATATAACATATATACATACGAGTATCTAAGAAGGCCGAGGAACCATCAGCTGGCTATTTTATTACGAGAAGGAAAGTTTTCGTGTAAACTTCGCCCCGGTACGGTTTTTCTTATATTTTCAAATACTTCCAGCGATGATATATATAATATAAACAAAATTAAGGCCCCTAGCCACGGTATCCATACGAGCATAGAGGAATCAAATGTCTTTCTCTCCTCCTTTCTCTCTTTCACATTCTCACTTAAACACTACACATTTTGACAAATAATTAAGTCATCACAGAAGCATCATATTATCATATTCAATTAGACTACATATTTTGTGAATGTTCTTGTTCAGTTAGCGCAGTAATATTACAATGATCGAGTACAAAATGTTTTTAAAGTTTTCAAGCCTAGTATAAAGCACTATATATTATAAATGTGCTTACATGTTGGCACATACCATACACATATAATTATCATATATGGTATGTGTACACACATATGGTCGCAATTACCACTTAAAATCTAATTGTAGCGATAATATTCTATCATTATTCTATGAATAAAAGCAAACTTTTACGAACAAAACACTAAAAGCTATATAAGAAAGAAAATAATGAAAATTGAAGAAATCATTAGAGATACAAAAGTTTAGAATGTTTGACTTCGATTATTGTTATGATCATTTTTAATTTCAAACAGAATAGTTTTTTTAACAGGGTAATTAATTAAACAACACCATAGCCATAAAAAAAGGAAATGTACTGAAACAAGCATTATAAAAATTATAAAATATTAGTTGCTTCAACATACATAATTGATTACAAACGTATAGGATATTTTTAATGCCATTTTCTAGAAGATCCACCATCGTATAAGTGGTAGGCACATTACAACTGAAAATACTTTACATGTCGTATCTTTCAACCGATGTTAGTACGTGTATTCGTATATATTTAAAATAAAAAAAAAATGTGTGTAGTTAGATAAAGGCAGTGATATTTTTTGCACAAGTAGCAAGTGAGAAAAAAAATTGGCTAATTTTCCATAATGTCTTTTTTAATCATCTTGAATGTTTTATCTAACTACATATTTGCCTCTCCATTCATTGTAATAAAATAAGACTGTTAAAATTGCAAAACCCTCCAGCTACTATTAACCCTTTCGCGACGACGAAACTGGTCACCAGTGCGCCATCGATGAACGGGTCATCGTGCCATTAGTGCAAACTGTACGCGTAAAGAGTGCATCATTTTGTGGACACCGGATATATCTGGTGGTAGCCACTATAAATCATTTTATGGATGCCAGATATTCGGCGTTAGACGTGAAAGGGTTAAATCGCTTCTTCCTTAATTTTCTTCCAGCAAACGAAAATGGCACAAAGCGTAATGGAGTCTCGTAAAGCACAACAAGTGCAACTCCTTAGTTTATTTCAAAGTTTAAACACGTAACTCCGATGATCAGTGAATGACTCTGCAAGCCAGTAATCAAATCCCGCTCTCCTCTTTCCTCGATTAGGTAACGATGAAAAGATATTTTAACGAGGATCGCGATCAAGAATGATGTTATATTTATCCAGAGCTGGCAGTTTCCTTTTCAGCGGGCAGGGCAGATTGCTCGGACAAAGCTGCCTTATTCTGTCTTACCATCTCTGCGCGCCTCTCCTTTAGAACAAAAGAAAAGAAAGATTTGATATTTTAAACCATAAGTTCGACGTTCAACTATTCTAAAATAAAAATGTTTAAATGTGTCATGCTAGAACGGATATTAAGCTAACATCTATCAGGTATACTTAGTAGCCCATAAATGCAGGGTCATGCTGAAAAGAAAATTATAGAAAAATTAGATATACAATTATACGTAATACAACTGAATCCCTATAAGGAATATTCTCTGCAACATAATATGGTAAAGCATAATTAAAATTTATTAAAAATTCTAGTGATAACCGTAGCCTACTAAAATTCATAGAAGTCATACTGAAACTAAATCAGCGAAAAGGATATAAATAAGCCAACATCTGATGATGGTAGGAGATAAGAGACAATAATATTGAATCAACAAAAAGAGGGCGAAATTACATGCTGGCGAATAGCCTGCACACGACGTTGAATCTCTCGCTGTCGGTTCTGCTCCGCAGTAGAAACCCTCTTGTCAAATTCGAACTTTTTCACCAGAAGTTCTCTCGTGGCGCACTCATCCGCCATCTGACGCACTTTTGCTATCTTCACAGTGTTCTAAATGACCATTTCAAATTCCCTTATTGGGTAACATTGTCGACAATATGTAAGAAAGGATTTCCACTAAGAAAACGACCAAGTTTGGAAAACTACATTCCCTCGTTTCACTTGTGTTTTCAAAACTTGACCAAAACAGGTGTTACATCTACAGAAGCGAGAAATCCTTCCTAGTAGTTGCCAAAACAATCCAATAGAAAACCCATAAAAACTAATACCAAAGTCTAAGTTTATGAATAATGCATACAACTTACATGATTGCGCAGCTTCTCTTTTTGTTCGCGTTCAATATTCTGGCGGCGTTCGTGAGCTTGATCTAACTTGTCCTGAATCTGCGATTCAAGTTGCTGCACACGCTCGCTTATACCTTGACGCACACGGGCGACTTGCTCCTCCTAAAAAATTAACATTCACAGAGATTAAACAATATATAAAAAAATATATATTATTCTACCGATATCAATAACGTTGAATACTGACATGTTCTTTGAGACGATCTAGCATCCTCTTAATATTCTCGTCACGTTGAGCGGCGGCAGATTTCAGCTTCTCTTCGACCGCACAACGAACCTCCTGAGTCTGTTGTTCGAGACTCAAACGAGTTTTCTCTACACTTTCTAACTATAATCGGAAGTAAACGAAAAAAAAAAATAATAATAAATTCACTTAATAAATATACGTAAATAAAGGAAAATCTCAACTAACGTGTTCTTTCAACTTGTTCTTCAATTCCGCAATATGAGCCTCTCGCTTCTCTTCCGTATTATTCATCTTAGCATCTAAAGATTCACGAGTCGTGGCAATGAAAGCGGCGCTAAGTTCATCTTTTTTACGAGATGCCTCTTCAATTTTGCTAAGCTTAGCGGCAAGAGCAGCTAGCTTATGAGCTTCCAAAGAAAGTCTTCTTTCCTCCGCTGCTCGAAGTTTGTCTTCAATAGGGACTTGTTGAGTCGGACTTGTTTGTGGTGGTGACGGTGCTCTCTTCGGCACTGTTGGCTCTGCTAAGATTACCTCATAGCACAATCCACCCTTGGATTTCTCTTGGCATCGAATTTCGGTTGCTGTGAGCGTGTTAATGAACGAAATCGATCAGCAAACGTATTGCTTTCAAATTATTAAGGATTATTAACCATATTTGCTTCAATATATTAAATATACTAACTTGAATATAATTTTATGAACATAAAGCGATTATTCAAATGTTGATGTAATTGATTAACTCGTATTGAATCGCACAAGCACGAAATTAAATTCATTATCGCCATTCGTAACGTGGTGAAAATCCGCGTAACGATGGTAATGAACCATCGTGATTCGTTCATTATTTTACGCATCCCCTATCGTGCAAGGTGCAATTAAAAACATCCTGTCTGCAGAGCGGCGAGACACAATCCACTTTAGCGGAAGATTTCTCGATTTTATCCATCTCGGGTTCGCTTCGAAGTACACGAAGTTACGGAAGTATGACTCAGAGACGCGAGAAGGAAAGATCGATCAGCCCACGGGACGATTGTCTTTAGGCGCCGCGACGTCTAGCGTCGACACACGCACCTTTCAGTGGCTACCCTCCCTACCATACAACATGCTGAAACGTTCTTCGACATTCGCCGTCTTCGATTTATAATTCACCGGCGACATATTGCCGACTGTTCGTGCCGAGTTCGTTGCACTTTGCAGCGAGCATAATTTGCACGGAAAATCGATCGGAAGGTTGCCCCCCCAATTTTCAATTGGACAAAGTACCATCTAACGGACAATAAGATAACAAAATAACAACGATATCTCGTTAGACTAGCAAACCTTTCCACTTTGGTCTCCGATTCTCCATTCTGGATCGCCGATTTTAAACGTTTCTCGTCAGTAAAAGTCAAGCGATCTTAATTAAACTTGACTCGAACGTTGTTAAGAGTCGGATTGGGAAGGTGCTGGTGCAGTTCGAAAGTCAATGAGTCGGCGACAAGAGTCGTTAATTAAAAAGCAGCGTATACTCACTGATAAACTTTACTTTCTTCGGTTGCTTGGTCCGCGGCTTTCCTTTGCCGCTGGGCTTCTTAAAGGGCGCATTGCCCCTTCTATCTCCCGCTTCGAAAATTGAGAATCAATGAGTGCCGTATTACCTTAGGGACCAAGGAAATAGGGATCATGCTTTAATTATCGGGAAATCGATGCAACTGTCTCTTCACTATCGGCTAACAACCAAGGGTGGCCATCTTGGGCCGCACCCCGATCGTTTAGTGGAAGTTTTCCCCATAGAGCACGTGCGTACCAACTATTTCTGCAATCTTTCTTAGTACTTGCACGAGCTCAACATAACTCAAGCTTTTAAGACGGGGAATAATATCCGGCAAATTATCGTCGCGTTATTACGTTAAAGTACGTGCCAAGCTTGAAAAAAAAAAGATAAAACACAAGTAATTTTAATACATCCAAATTATGCAATGTCGAGTTATATAGAAAAACAAATGAGGAATAACGAATGCTACTGGTCTAATAAATTTTTAACGTAGATAGTGTTGGTGATACACTATGAATACCAATTAGAGGGTAGAGAAATTGATCGAACTGCAGGTACCTGGGATAATACGATACCAACATGATATCGACCACCATTGACTGAGGTAAAAATACACCGACTATCAAGTTCAAAAAGCGTATATTTAAAAGGAGAGTCCTTAAGGGAGATTCGAAGAGAAAATTATCACGCTCTCCAATGCATATAATTGCAAATAATTATTCGAACATGAGTTCGAACCTCGTTGCGAAAAGAAAAGTACTATTGACAATTTTCGAATAAATAATAAAAAAATATATACATATATAATAAAGATTATACATATATAATATAAATAATATATATAATAAAGATTATATATATGTGTGTGTGTGTGTATATATATAATAAAAGAAAGGATTATATATATTTTCATAGAATCAAAGGCAATAAGTGACGACAGCGGATAGAGGTGAGAAAATTCCACATCGAAATAGATGCAGCGATACCATATAAAATTAGATTAAAAGAAATCTCTTGTCACGAGTTTAGTGTATCACCTCGATCATAGGAGTCATTCGCCGTGATATTGACTCCTTCCCTTCTAGTTCTCCGCAAAGATAGCACGCAAACTATCGTATAAAAATTGAAAAAAAAAAGAAAAAGATAAAATACGAAAGACAATTGCATCTTTCTTCCCAGTTAAGGTGAGAGATGTCGAACAAACAAAGAACAACTCACCTACGATGCCCAAGGGTGCTTTGCAACTGTGACAGAAGCACTGCAGCACTGAGTCGCGCACAAGACCGATCAGCATATTTCTAGTGTTTGATTACTCGCTGCTGCCCCGCGAACCGTGCTCCGTATTTGGCCGAAATTAAACAAATTCAGCGAGAACGGCGACGAGAATGAAAGAAGGAAGTGCAGGCAAGTGTCGGCAAGAGGACACGTCCGACGAGCAAAGAGGAAGGCCGGAAGTGGCTGAACTCGTATCTGGGGCGGTGGCTGGAAGGGGACTGATCCACACAGTGCGCCACGACGCCCGGCGTCGCTCAATATCCACCCACTGGCGCCTCTTGCGCCCCTAGTCGCGGCAGACCACCCCTCGCTGCAGCGAGTAGCCTACCCGACGACAAGTCACCCTTCCACCTGTGCTAACCTCCAACCTCCAACCTCCACCTCGAACAGTCTCAACATGCCTCTATCGTGGACCCGGTTGCCGGTCGCTAGGCACGTGTGGAAGCCTACGAACAGACGTAAAATGCCATCTGTCCAACCCCAATCGCCGAGCCTCTTATATTTTGGCTCAACCTCGCACCAGCAGCCTGCTTGATCAATGGATGATGATATCTTCTTTTTTCAATGTATTTTTTTTTTTTTTCGTGTCAACTGCTAAGATTATTAGCGACAGAATTATGGGACCGGGAACTGTGATACGATAAATGGGAGAGATAATTGGATCTACAATTTTAGGTGGATTCTGAACCACTGTGTCTACCTATATAAATATATACGTATCACTCGGAAAATTACAAGTGGGGATCGAACATAATTGTTAGTCTCGTAAATTATCTACTTCGCCCCCTCATCCCGCATGATATCTTCTTATCACGATTTTGGCCAAATTTCGCAGTTTAAAAAAGCGTACGTCCGCGTTCTTTAATCTTTGCGAATTCAGAAATTGGATAGGATCATTATACAAGTACTGAAATTTGCTTTCATTTAGTTGCAATATCTATGTTTTTTTTTATATATATACCAGTCAACCAACGAGTTTCTTTTGTACATTTGATATAAAACTGAAAGAAAATATTATTTAGTTGATTGTATTATAATATTGTATGATATTATAATATTATAATATTGTAAGAGTGAAATTAAAATGTCTTAGTATTTTAAAGTTAATTCTTTTAGCACAGCATATTGATTTCAAAGTTTGTGAATATTTTATATAACCGGCGCCCTATTTCGCGACTATAAATCAAGCCCTACCACTAAATCCTGCCCTTGCTTCGTTGCGACACTCAGGATGCACTCTTCGAATTGACGACTTTGCAGTATATGTCCTGAGGGGGGAGGACTCATAGAGTGCTGACAACGAGTCCCTCTTGTTTCGATTGTTCCGACATCTATGTTAAGTACTTCTACTTGAATTTACTTTAACCCTCTTAATTTCGTGACATTTAAAAAAACTTCAACCTCGACTTTATTGTCGTATTTGTCTTCGATCAAAATAGAACGTGATTTCGTTTCATGACAAGAATAATTCAGTCACTGTCCCTTCCCGATTTCTAAGAAAACAATCCATCAATGTCTTTTGTCCTTCTCTAGAGCTCTACATTGACACGCGAAATATGTAGTTCTTTTTACGAAACGGCATCTTTCCTTTTATCTATACATCCTTTGTATCCTCAATCTCAACTGACCGTACATCATATTCATTTTTTATTATCTTATGTCTTTTATTATCTACTGCTAGCAGCATTTTAATAAGCTCGCGAATTGGTAAAATCGTTCGAGGTGAGCATGAAGAACAATACCGAAGGAAATCGAAGCTAGAAAATATAGGACACAAACGAGAATCATTGTTCCGTAAACTTTTCCATTTGACAGAAACGATCGAACAATCGCAATGTCAGAACTCCATGACGCATTACGGTCGTAGGATATGCCGTAAAATGAATGAATCTCTTACACCTGGATCGATATCATGGAATATTTTCAGAACTCGGAACGCGGGAACAGGCGACGTTAATAATGCAGTTGCCCTCCCCCCTTTTTCCACTAGTCACGAATCGTGGTAAATTGCGCAGAAATCGGAGTGACGTATTCTAATGGAAGTACCTCGAAACCGAACCTCGCCGTTTGCCAAGAATTTTTTTTAAATTCCAACTAACTTTCCAATTTTCTTCGCCCTACAATTGACAATTGTGTGACATTACATTTTTCTGTTATATTTTCTACTAAAAAAAGAATGTATTCTGCCATTTCAAGGAAATAAATAACTAAATAGAAGCTCGTTAGAAAATCTATTCAGTCAAAGAAAAAGAAATGTCGATTTTGCACGAGTTTCACATGCTCGTTATATTTAATTGGATTAAAAAAAAAAAAAAAAAAAAGGAATAAAAGACATAGTTCAACAGTCAAGGAAAGTGCATTGTTTTAAAAATATGATTTATTATTTCATGTTCTTTAAGGTAAGAAACAATACAACGGTGAGTTTCATCAAGAGAAAATAGATATATCTTGCACGCTACACCAGACAATTGGATTAACCTACGCACTTCAATGTCACCGTGTGTATGCTGCTTAAAGTCGACCGAGAGTTAACCGAACTAGTCTCTTTCACGTGCATGAGAGGAACTTGAATCTCACTCTTCGACACGGCGAGGGACAAAATTTCAAGTCGCATGCTAGTAACCGATGCGAAGTTCAACTGAGACAATATTAATTATTGATACAAAACACTTATGCGGGCTCACAATCATTCTCCATATAATTATTCGCATTGCGAAAACACTAATAACCATAAAATCGATACATTTGATACATAAAGAAATCTATACTCAATTCATAGGACACTTATATAGGAAAATATTAGGACTCAAATGAAACAAAATCATAAGAAGCCTATAAATTTTTACTTTACAATTGAAGAGAATTTTAAATTACTTCCAGATTAATATATCAAACAATCTTATAGGTTGCAATGTATGATAAAAGTATAAAAAGAGCCAAAAAACTAAAATAAAACAACTTGTCTTGTTTAAATAGAACAAATATACTAGTTGCAGATATAAATGTATCGGAACGACGATTTATTGAAGGAAATACATGTTTATTTATCAAAATTGCTGGTGGTTGAGAACCACTGAAAGGCGTTCGAGCACTGCAGAATCAAGCTGCAGTTGCCACGGCGAAGCGCAGGCTGCACTTCTCCGAGGACGCCAATGGAGGGCTCTGACCTCTTCCCGGCAACTATCTACTTTTCGCTGCCTTAGGGTGTGTTCCTACTGCCATCTAAATTGCCTTCCTAATTAATGATCCTTTGTCGTGCTAACTTTGTCATTTAAAAATTCAAAAATCGTGTCATATAAAATTCACGATTACTTTTTTATTCGACATGAAATTTTAGTTTATTACTCGCGGCAAATCAAGAAACTGGACAGGACAATAATTTGAAGAAAGTTGTCGTTATACATATATACATACATATATACACATGTGTACCAAACTGTACACATATATACACGTGTGTACCAAACTGTATATATATACATATATACACATAGGTGTACCAAACTGTCATATCGTAAATAACATCATTGATATTGATGTGACACAACATGTGATACATACTGATCATGTAAAATTAAATAATATATATAGAATATATATTCAATATATACATATTAAATAAAGTATATTGGTCACAATCCTTCTTAAACTAAGCTATTTAGATAAGTAACAAAAAAAAAAATATAAACATTTCACAGATATTACTCATATTACAGATAAAATTGTTCTCTTGATAAGATTATCGCGTTTCTTAAAAATTCAAGAAAGTATATCATATAAATCACAAATATTGTTAATATATAGAAATTGTCATAAAAAATAATTCGTAAATATCTTCGTACAAAAATTTTTCATCACTTACATTCGTTGTTAACAGTTGATTCAGTAGCTGTAGCCATTGTTACCGTAATTGTATGTCACTATAAAAAAATATCTTTCATTTTATAAACTGAATTTGAAAGTCCAAGCAGAATTTTTGATAAATATTTCGTATTTGTTATCCTCTTCGCATTAACCTTTATATTCGTAGTTCTCAGTATAATATTTCAATTCACGAAGTTCATTTCAAACAAAGGAAGTATATAAGGAAGCTATATGATATTTATGTACATACATATATATTGCAGCTAAATTTCTCGAAATCGAAGATTTTATTTTTGTGAGAAGTAAGAATACACCCGAGATACGATTATTATTCATGCATTATTGTATTATTATTTTATGACAATGTCTCTCTACAAAAAGATATTGCGATATCGTTCTTTTACAAAGAGTAAACAATTATAAAAAACAATATCTGAAATTGTTTGTACAATTGTACAATTGTGCAGTGACTAATTTTACGAGTTAATATTCCTTTTTATATTTTACAAAAAATTTTCCCATAAATTTATTTATATGCGATCATAGAAAGTCAGTTACGATTACTTCTACGCATGATCCTGTTCAAAAAAAACATATTGCAGTTGTTGTAAATTAAATGTTGAGGATGTTGATTAAGATTGTGTAAAACAATGTCACTTTCTTTGTTTCATATTAAACATTGAGTGTAAACGAGAATAAGCAATGGCTCTTTGTTTGAAACCGGTAGCGTCTCTTTGTTATCGCACGAATTTACTACCGCAAATTGAAAATAAATAAATTAACTTACCTATTCTTCTTTTAAAAGAATAAAGACGTAATTATTGAAGAGGAAGAGCTGATCCTGCGACAGGAACAATCACACACAAACTGGATAATGCCACTAGATCTGAGCGGTCGGTGGACTTGCTGGCTGCTTATATTGCGACGTAAGTGTTCCTGTATGTTTCAGCGATTCACACTGGCAAACATTCAGCCACATGTACGCTACAAACATACGTTTTATCAAAGTGCTCAAACTTTCGTGGATTTTTATTGGTCGAGCTGAGTGATCGGTTCGTCGCGATTGGTTCATTTGAATTTGAAGCGTTGATTAAATTGTAACAAAACCTGTCACATGAGTCCTTTACTACGCATTCGTAATATTACTTTCATTGTTCAAGATGATCAGTGTAAATATGTGCTTTAGTAAGGTAATTACCACTTTCTTAATAAATTCTATTTGTACTTGTGTCGAATTATGATCTATTTTGTTTATCGAAAAATCATTATTTGTTATAAATATATAATTCGATAGTATTTCATACGAGTATGTTACGTATTTTATTAAGTTTATTATAAATAATGCAATTATCGCGATTCGCTTCACGCAATTTTTATGATCAATATGTAAATTATAATAAATATATCTGTAGCCTAGATATAGTACAAACATAATAATACAGTACAAATGTAGGAGCGTTTTAAAAATACATGCATTTGTGTTTTTGTCTGAAATACGGTCACACAGTTTAGAAAAGATTCATTCTGGATGAATCATATGTCTACAACATATGTACCAATGTGTGGGAAGTTGTGACCGTTGTGCGACCATAAGAACGTAAAAATCCGTTCCAAATATGGTCGAGTCGTTATAACTGGTTTCGATGATTTCGATGATGATCGGGAAAGCGTGATATACACATCCATTAAAATTTTAACTAATCATTGTTTTTACTTCTGTTTATTATTCTAAAATGTGAAAATTTTGTTTCATTAATTTTTTATAATAATTTTTTAAAATTGTTCAGTTAATAGCATTATTCTGCGGAATATTTAGCAAAGTATATAACTATATATGCTTTATATGTATTCTATTTTATAACTATAATAATAATTTTTCTAAAGCGAAGGTACATATTTTCTTGTATATGGTTATTTTTATAAGATCTCTTTGAATATTGAACATATTTTTTAAATATATGTTATCAAGGTATATGTCGTAAAAAGTTATTGAAAATCATTAAAGAGAGATAATAATATTAAACAAGATCATTAATTTATATATGGAAAATAATACAACAATAATTTGAAAAATGAGATATTTTATTTGGTACTTATATTTTTAATATTTATCTTTTATAATAAAATATAATGCCAAAATTGCATATGTTTAAATTAATACATTAGTATCAAATTGATTATTATACAAATAAAACATATTTATTTCTCAATTAGGGCAGTATCTGTATTCGAATGTCATAATTTACATATCTGAATGATTTGATATATTTGAATATAAATAAATATATTATATAGAATTAACTGTTAGAAAATATAATTTCATTGAGGTAGAATAACAATATTCTAATATAACATTACATACACATAAAAAAAAATCAGTTCTGTAAATTTTTCCTTTTCTTATGTACTTTAAACACTTTTTTTTTTTAATTGTTATAAATTCATTTAGAAAAATGTCTCGAAAAAGATTCTAGAAAAATTGTATAATTTGTACTAAATATTTGATATAGGAAATGCTCTGTGCCAATTGGCAAAAAATAAAATTATACATATTTATAATTGAACTTACTTTCTTTTCTTTATAAAGTAGAGTTTCAAATAAAAAATTATCCTATCTATACATAAAGCATATTATTGCTTTAACTTTCATCACATAAAGGAGTAAGATCTCCACTTAGAGACATACTCTGGGGACTAGAATTTATAAATGGAGTTCCTCTAGGAGATTTATAAGACGGAGTATGAGCAGATGTCGTTCTATTGCGTGGAGTTGCTGTCTCATTTTCTTGATTTCGTGATGTTTTTTTAGATTCATCAAATCTTGGAGTAGTATTACTAAAATTACATTCAATATTATTTTGATATCAATGATTAAAGTTACAATTATCATATATTGATATATATCAATGATAAACTTACAATTCTCTCAAAGTAGACTGCTTCGATCGAGTCCATGCTTCTGCAGCTTTTGTCCAGTTTGTTGTATCAGAAGCATTAGAAATAGATGTGTGTGAGCTTGCAATTCTACGTGAATTTGAATTCATTACTGGAGGAATTGGTTGTAAGAATGGTCCTTGAGAATAATTAGGTGTTTGTAAATAGTGTGGTGTATGGTATGGAGTCATAAACGGAGTTTGACCAGAAGGAGTATAAGGCGTATTTTCATACATTTCATAGTTATTGATACTAACAACTCCTGGCGTGTATGATGGATAATGATGTGAAGTTTGATTTGCTACTTTCGAAAGTGAATGTAGCATGTGGTGTGGCATATTTTGTGCTACTCTTTGTATGGTATCTGGATTTACTTCTGAAAAAAGCAAGCAGAAATAAATTAATTCCAGTAAAATAAAAATTATTATATTACTCAAATTTTTAATAATGAATAATAATTTTACCATTTATTCCTGAAGTACCATTGTATAGTGTTTTAGAAGTCATAGTTCCATGTGGGGTACCTAGTTTAATTGGTATAGCATCTCTAAAATGTTCCTTAAACCAGCGGAACAAATCGCTTATTCTATTAAACATTTGATTTCTGAATCGGAATCCATCAGGTATTACAGTAACATACTCATGACGACAATTATTTCGTGGTAAATATGAAAGTAAAAATTTTCCAGGATAATTCTAAAATATGTAGCAAAAGAATTAGTTTCAATTAGCAATATACAACAAATACTGGATGTTTATATCTGCATACTTTACTTGCAGACACAATGTATGGAATTTCACCAGGATTTTTCTTCTTTTGTTCCTTTAAAATTTCTTCTGCTTTGTCCTTAATGCCTTCTACACTTGGTTTATAATATTTAAAATCTAATAATTCCAAGACATAAGCAGCCATAGGATTAACGTGTCTAGCGATAATTTCATCTAAGTCTTCGAATTCTTCATCGCCAATCCATAAACTGCGGCCCAAAGTAAATGTATTTTCTTTGCCTTCCTCTTTTACATCGATATGTTGATAAATATTATTTGTAATTTTCCATGTCACGGTTAAATGATCTGCTCCTTTACTGCTAGGTCGTATTATTGCTTCTCCTTGCTTCATAGTCTGCATTAACTTCTCAGCTTCTATAAAACTTATATTATGGAAATTAGGGTGAATTATAATACGTTTTACGTAAGTTCGCCTTTGTTGCAATTTTTTAGCATCTTCTTCTGCTTTTATATCTTGCTCTTCTGCCTCCAAATCATAATAAACATCTCGCTGAGGTCTAAAAAAAAAAAAATACACGTAAAATCTTGATTAATGAAACTGTGAAAACAATTATAAACAAAATATAATTATTTGTTGATACTTCACCGCCATTTGTGACTTTTATCAATTAGATCGCTCGTCTTGCTAGTACATTCGACACTAAATCGTTCTACTTTGATCTTAATTATGCGACAATGAATTGCTTGGCCGACACGTACTCTTTCCTCTGGATTGACGACATTTTTATCAGATAGATTTTTTATGTGAATATAACCAGATACTCCGTTATCCAATCTTAAAACGGAGACTCCTTTTCCCGGGCATGCACCGGTATCAAAATGATTCCACACTTCCGATAGTTCAGGAAAATCGTTTTTTAAACAGAGTGGACATTGCCATAATCCAGTCTCATCGTTTCGTACAGGATTCGCTTGATCTAATTGATCTCCTTGAGGTTTTTTGTGACTTACACCAACAACTGTTGCTAGAATTAATTTACCAATATAAAATGTTTCTGGAGTTTCTTTAGTCAAAATATCAAATAACTTTTCAGTATTTGGAGATTGATAAGGTATACGAAGATCTTTGTATCTACAGTTTAATTCAGCTCTTATATCATAAAGAGTAATGCACTTGTTCCCAAAACCCTGTCTTTCAAGTTCCTCTGCAAACGCATCTAAATCTAAATCTTTTAACCTTTCTGGAGATTCCAGAATTTCTTCTAGAGCACCAGCAGGATTTGCATCCTCGTCATCATATTCTAAAGCATCTACTGCCATTTTTCTTGCCCATTCATATGTTTCTGGATGTACACGCGATCCATCCAATACTTCTACATATGCCTCTGTGCTATCTCCTAAACTATTTGTATCAATCTTAATAAAACCAGCACAGTTGACAAATACTTTAGGCCCCATATGACATGCTGTTATAAGTTGTGTTCTATTTTCTAGTCTTTGATTAGTTTGCTTCAAAATCTTAATGAGGGCTTGTCCTTTTCTGGGTCCTAAACCACATACAAATTGTACTAAATTTGCTGTATAAGGCTGTTGAATTGCTCTGTTTAGATCAACACCTACTTCATTTACGCGATTTATAAATTCTAAATATAAATTTTCTATAAGATCATCTTTAGAAAGTTGATCTTGTAAAGGATGATATTTAAGGCACAAAATTTCTTCATCTATAGTACATAACTGAGAGAATTCTAATAGAGGATCTTGTATTTTTCTTGCTAAAGATATAGCTTGTCTTAATAATTCTGGATAATCTCTAAATTCAGATATACCTCTATTACTATTTGCATAAACTTTAGCAAGTTCATTATCACATATTTCCACTTGAATTTCAGGAAATTCTTCTTGCTCTGCAAGATTAGATATACATTCCTTTATTTCAGATACTATCGTTAATGCTTCCCTAGATTCGCCACCTACAACTACGACATGTGGTTTTTTCGTAGCAATAAAATTTTTAATTGCTAATAAATCCGCTTCTTTCAGCCTCTTTTCATTTTCTCTAAAATTATTTTTACGTTTTAATAAATGCGGTAATTTTAAATAATCAGTACATTCTCCTTCTGGAGAAATTATGCAAGTAAAAGCGACTTGAAATGGATCAGGTACATAAGCTAAACCCATCACGCGAATTCCTTTGTTAGTATCCCAATCTTCATCGTTTTCATTAGGAAATTCGCATGTATATGGTGCAATTTTTATCCAGTTGTACATTTTACGACAACATGCTTTCATAACATATTCTTTTGCTTCTGCTAAAAGATTAGACCGCAACTCCTTTTTCAGTTGAGGTATAATAATCTGATTAAAAGCTATTTCAACACTACCAATTCTTAATGCATTCCAATCCTGAACACTTTTGCTAAATTCGTCCTTATAATACAATTGCTTTATTTCATCCATATAATTATTGCTAATATTTCCTTCTATCATATCACTAAATAAAAGTGTAATTAGTTTATCTTCTTCCGCTATAATTAGTTTTAAAAATTGATCACCGACAAAATCCCGTACAGGTTTATTTTTAAGATATTTTAAGCTATAAATGGCATGTCCCTCATCTATCTCCTTCATTCCATTTTTGGTCGGTTTTACAGATATTTTTGCTCTCTCCATATACATTTCTCTAATACATTTACGAACTAGTGGTTCGTATGCTAATTGAATTGCAACCATTAATTGTGCAGCTTTAAGTATTTCGTCACTTGTCTTAAATAATACTGAACAAAAATCATTTGCTACTACTGCAGGTTCTGTTGGCTCTTGATCTATTTCATGACGTTGATAATTATCTCTAAGATTTTCAGCGAAATGTTCTGGAGAAAGACCAAATTTTTTGGCAAGTCCATCTAAGCCAGCTTTTTTGCAAAGGTAATAAGGACCTTTTCTAACTGGCTGCTTCAATGAGTCATCAATTTCTTCTTCTTCGTCATCTACATCCGAAATTTCTTTAGCAGGATCTTCTTCATTTTCTTCAGCTTCTACAAATTGTTTTCTTTTCTCTAATTTAGCTTTTTTTCGTAGTTCTTTTTCCTTCTTACGTGTGTCTTTTTGCATGGCTGATAAACTCTGATTGTAATACAACATAAAATGCTGATAAATAACATTTAACTCTTCAAAAGTTTGAATATTTTTAAGTCGTTCAATATCGTCGTCTTTAATGACTCGTATATTGTCAAGTAATGGAGCATTTGGATTTTTCATAATTTCATTTAATTGAAAATTTCTCATCCTTTCAAATAATTTCAATAAATTTTCTTTTCTTTGTTTTAATTGATACCATTTTACATCGAATTTATAAATTTTCCATAAATCATTAATATTTAATTCTGGAGAAACATATTCTTTTCTATAAAATGAAATAAATGGAACTTCGAAGTTTTGATTACGTATAAAATCTAAAACTTTTTTAATTTTGCCGACTGTTTGCGGCCCCTTTTTAGTTCTTTCCTTAGCTTCTTCATTTAGATAGGCATCTTGTATTGAAATAGTTGGTTGACAGAATGCTTGTTTATATATCCAGTCTGCTTCAAGATCTAATTCATCCGAACCTTCCGCTGTAGGTGTAACGGGAACAGCGCGAATTTGCATGCGTTCAGGAATATCTGTAGTACGAATCTAAAACATACAAGTTACAATAATTTAAATATTGTTATTATAATAATTATAATAATTTTATATTATTGATAATAGATTATTAAAATTATTTCTAATCAATACCTCATTATCCACATCGGTGAAATGACCACGTATAAGTTCACTAGGTTCGTACAGTTCAAAGATACTTTTCCTTATGCTTCTTTTCTTAAAATTTTTTTTCAACCGTTTTCGACAGTCTATTTCATCCTGAATATATTCATCTTCATCTTCTTCTTCTTCTTCTTCCTCTTCTTTGAACTCATTCTCTTCATATTTCCCGAATTCATCGTAATCAAAATCAATACCAAAAATATCTTGGGCTTCTTGCAAAGCACTGTGATAAAAATACAAATAATTATATAACAAAAAAATTTTTAAATTTTGTTTTTAGAACACAAATAATACTGACGCATCTGAGAATATAGGTTTTTTCTTTTTTCTTTTTTCAGTTATGGGTATTCCATCACCATCCACAATGAAATCATCTTCATCCTCACTTTCTTCTTCATCAAAGTCTTCCGTTTCACCCCTTAGACCAACTTCATTTCTTTCCTCATCTTCCTATTTAGCAAAATAAAAATAATTTATTTTAATTTAATAAGTTATTAAATAAGACAAATATACATTTTATTCAAAAACTTACCTCTCCAGAACTTTGAAACAATTCATTAGCAATAGCATCTCTTTCATCATCTACCTCTCCTTTCTCTTCTTCTGAGTCTTCATCTTGTACCCTACGTAAACGCTTAAAACGACGTTTCTAAAAGGCAAAAATTATATTAAAAAAGTTGTATTAAAATATCTTATATAAATTTTTTTCAACTATATTATACCCTTTCAACTTTAACTCCTAAATTTTCTTCAAGTAGATCATAATCTTCATCTTCTAAACGGTCATCAAAATCTTCATCATCACTTTTTTTACGTTTTCTAGAATCATCAGAGTCTTCACTGTCTTCATCATTGTCATCATCGATTGGATTATCATCAATAAGTCCCGAAACTTCTCCTTCCTCTTCTAAATGTCACAAATATATATAATTATAAAATGAAAATTTGAATAATATTAGTTTACATATTAATAATGATATGTAAATTTTTTCTAATATCTAAAGCAATAACTGTACTTTCTAGAATCTTTAAATAATACTAAAAAAAAATCTTTAAAGAAAGTACTAAGCTTTATTGTATAAAACATTTTTGTGTACCTTCATCATACTCTTCGTCGTCGTCACTGTCTTTCATCCTTAATTTTTTAAGTTTTTTCTTTTCGTTAACATCAAGTTCTTCTTCCTCCTAAGAAATCGTGAAATATCAGATTATATTTGACAAATGTACTCGTTACTTTATTATCACTTTATTGCATACCTCACTTTCTTCTGCTTCGGCATCTAAATAATCAGCCATTTTCTATGGGAGATATAAGAACTTCTTGAAAAAGTGTATAAAAATATTGATAACAAAAACGTAATGACAAACGTCTACTCCGGAGCAGAAAAACTAACTGTGACTTCTGCACAGCTGTTTTAACATCTATACATATAAAGGTGCGTTCACAAGAAAATACCCAATCAGCTGATATACAACGAAGGTGATTCGTCAAGACTCTTGTTTATATAACTGCAGTCAGTTAAAAGAAAGTGAACTGATCACCGTAGTATTTCCTTGATTCATTATTCGTGCATGCTTAAGTGATTTGTAAATTCCTTGATAGCGTGATAGTGTGCATAGAAACGAAAAGAGGTGAAAACATGGCGAAACAACGTGTGAAATGATTAGAATCGCTTTTGAAACAAATAATTACTCGATCGGAATGACAACTAATGAGGAATCCGTAGATGACAGTCTCTTAGAGAGATTCATCAATAAGGATGAAAATAAGGTTGCAAATTGCCGGAGCAGTGCAGATAATATCGAAGAGCATAAATTACGACATGGTACGGATAGTTTTCCGAATATCAATGAGAGACCGGTTGACGATATTTCGATTGAATTTTTCTACAAACCACACAGCATTACATTGCTTCTCATTTCGATCGGTGCTGTAATATATTCCGCGTTCACAAGGTAATTAAATATTCAAATTCATCGTACTTGTTACTAAGTTATTATTGTACTAAACTATTGTAAATATCGGTATTAATTTAATGCAGGAATACTACCAATGTCGAGGACAACATTTGGGCAGGAATACTTTGTATTATATTCTTTTTTCTAATCATATCAATACTTACATTTCCAAATGGTCCATTTACAAGACCTCATCCTGTTGTATGGAGATTGGTATTTGGTTGTAGTGTACTATATTTAATGGGTCTATTATTTATGCTGTTTCAAGATTATGAAACAGTTAGAAAGATCTTCGTTTGGATAGATCCTCGTTTGGCATCATTTCACATTGACATGGACAAAGAATACGGTGTTAATTGTTCAGAAATCACAGTTGAAAAAATATGGAATCATTTAGACATTTTTGCAGTAGCCCATTTCTTAGGATGGACCTTTAAAGCAATTCTTATTCGTCATCTTGGTATTCTTTGGGCCATTAGTGTTATGTGGGAAGTAACAGAAATAGCATTTGCTCATTTACTACCAAATTTTGTGGAATGCTGGTGGGATGCTTTTATACTTGACGTTGTTGTCTGCAATGGTTTAGGTATTTGGGTCGGATTAAAAATTTGCTCTCTATTAGAAATGAGAGAATATAAATGGGTAAGCATCCTTGATATTGAGAGCACAACTGGAAAATTAAAGAGGGCAATGCTACAATTTACTCCTGGTAGTTGGACTGCTGTTAGATGGTTGGATCCAACTTGTACATATATGAGATTTGTTGCTCTATGTCAGTTGGTTATATTCTGGCAAGTTTCAGAGCTAAATACATTTTTCTTAAAACATGTATATGAATTTCCACCTTCTCATCCATTTGTTGTGGCAAGATTGGTATTAGTTGGAGTAATAGTTGCACCCTCTGTTAGGTAGGCAATTATAATGGAGTAGATGAGATCTATATACCAAATATATAAGATTTTATTGTAACAATTTATTGTATAAAAGCATAATATTTTAATATAATTGTAGGCAATACTACATGTTTGTAACAGATCCAACATGTAGTAGAGTAGGGACTCAGTGTTGGGTCTATGGAGCAATTATGGTTACAGAAGCTTTGCTATGCATAAGGCATGGTGCTGCATTATTTGAACGTACTCAAGCACTGAACATTCTTTTATGGCTACTTTGCCAGTCTCTAGTGTCAGTTCTTTGTGTCTATGGCTGTGTTCTATGGCATCGGTACTTTGAGGTATTTACTTTGAAAATTTGCAAAATTTGAAATTTTTCAGTTTGTAACTAACTGTATGGTTATCTGTGTCCCTTTTTCAATGTCTTTTGCATGGCTCTCGTCTTTTCAGACAGAAAAGAAAGCCTCTTCAAAACAATGTATCACTCGATTAGACAACAGTCATATGGATATAACCCCTAGCAGTGGTATGTGTGATGTTTACTACATTCCTTTGAATGTTTAAATAATATTTAAGCCAATAGTGTACTGGGCTATTGACATATATTCACAATTAACTGGCGACTAAATATTAAGCAAGAGTGTTATATAAATCATTTGCAATCTGTTACTTACTTGGATGATGTCAAAACCAAATAAATTTTGTCATGAATGCTTTTGTTTTTTGTTTTCAATATTAAAAAATTTGAATTTTTGTATATATTTACATAAAAATATATAAATATATACATATATACATAATAATAAAGATAATTTAAAAATAATTATAAATATGAATGCATGAAAATATTTTTATTAATATATATGTTATTATATAAATATAAATTTGTTTGTCACAGCTCAGTCCATCATTGGTAGACAAAATATTGAATGAATGAATATTTGAAATAATTAATCTATGTTTTAGGGGACATGGTTCACTCTACAAAATCTATGGGTTTGCTGAAAAAAAAGCAGTTGTGAACAGACCCACAATAAAGAACATTCGATGTAAGAGTGAACTATTTACAATTTACATTGTCAACTAGTCGCATCATAAAATCATATAAAGTCAAAATTTTGAATATAATAGACTGTTGAATATATGATATCATCTGATTTTTACATACTGCGCTTGTTTGCGTATGAATGTTATGAAGAAAAATGTTCCCGTGAGAATAAATGAAAAGCGTCGTTACTACGTAATAACGCTTTCTTATAAAGAAAATTGCTATATCATTTATAAATCGTAATTGCATAATTACGATATACATTCAAGATATGGAAATGCACTGCATACATAACTTGGCATTATCTGTGAACCTTCTGGACAATTCCAAGCTTCGCCAAGAAGCCTGTTGTTAGATGCAGAAACAAAAATACGAATTCGATTTGGTAACTGTTCGTTTTCATACAGTGATATATATGATGACGTAAGTGGTGACTTCGTACAGTACATCTACAAAAACCATGACAAGTTCTATTTATAATAATTATTATAACGATTGTAATTTCATTTAAAATGCCAATGCCATAAATTTTACTGTAACAAGAGTACCTGAGCATAGATGAGGTAGAATAACTTAGTGAAATCAAGGTCAAGCCAAGGAAGATAAAGCCACGATTCGCTTAATCTCAATTGAGCCAAAGTATCGTATGCTAATCTGAGTCCCATCGTTTCGGACAGACGTTCATTTAGGGTCAATTGCGAAATCTAAAACGCGTTTAAACAAAAAAGAAATTATTGCTTTTAAAATAACATGCCTGATTGAATGTTTTACATTAAAGTAATATGTTTACATCATGACGGTTTTATAAAAAAATAAATATATGAATTCACCTTATAAAGCACGTTCTGTCCTGTAAATGATAATGTCATATTTATAGGATCTTTATAGAGAATATTTCGTTGGTAGTCAATGTAATCCTTGAAATCCATATTTGTAGAATTATCATCATCTAACAGAGTATTGGCATCGCGAGTCCCTTTCCAATAATATATACCTAACAATACATATTAAAAAGGTATATTATTGGACATTTGGACGATAAGATTTTTTTAACTTTCTCGAAAATTTACTGTTACAGATTTGTAACGTTGTTTGTGATTATATTATAAAATTACATATTAATTTACCATTTGCGTCAAAATGATGAGCAATTTGATGTGCTATCATGTTACCAAGTGTTGCTAATTTTATGTAATTAAACAAAGATTCATTGTATTTCATGGACCAGTCGATTACACCATACGGTATTACAACGAGGTTTAATCCGTAAATTGCAAGTCCTTTAGATTGATATGGTGTTGTATAACGTGTCCATCTATATATTAATCCATAACTTAAAAAGCAACTTAAAAACATTTTATATACATATATGGATTCAATTATAAACTCACATTTGTTCAGGATACCGTGGATTTGTAAATAATTCTGCATATATTAATTTTCGGTACCTTTGCATCAAAATCACCGAATTTTCGAAATAATTGTTTGTTAGATTTATCTGAAATTGAGCGATCGTTGAATTATCATTCAACAATTTTTATAAATTATGATAGTATTAATTTATTTTAATATCATGTAAATAATTACGCACATGCGCCTATTATCTCAGTAGAAACCGAAATATTTTTTTTTCGTACCTGATTTGCTCTAACTTTTCTATAAGTTGATTCACTATCTGTATAATATGAAATATCCGGTACGGCAACTTTAAGATCATCTATTTTTGCAATCAGTGCGTTACGTCCTGCTTCTGTAGTCCATGTTACATTCATGATTTTTAATTTTAGAGTCTCTTTAAGTATCTTGAATAGACCATGTATCTATTAAGTTATATGATAACGATTAGTTACATAGTAAACTATCGTTTCGATGATATATGATAATAATATATAAGCTTACAGTTTTATTCATGTATGTAAGTTGATCTTTTGTGAATGAAGAGATGTACAAGTTTGAAGCTTCCGGAATTAAAACATCAGCAGCTACGCGAAGACAGTGTTTTTCAACATCTAGATGTTTTGATATAACTAACTAGAAACAAAGAAAGAAAAAAAATGACGAAATACAATTGAAAAAAATAATAATAAAAGAAGAAAGAAACGAGACATTAATCAGGGAAAATAAGTATACCTCTTGATAAAGATTGCGTGCATACAATCCTAATAATGCGTTATGCAATAGCATCGAATTTTCTTGTCCAAACTTTTCCAGACTTTTCAATCCTTTATCTAGAGCATCGTAAAAATAAACCTGCACTTTTGTATTCGGTTCAACTAGTCCGTTCGTTAACAATAAAATTAATTGCGTCCAATTTACCTATAAATAAATTACGGAACATATCGATCTGATCAAGAGAATCAGCTTAATTTAAAAGGTGAATATAAACATTTTCCCTTACGATTTTAAAATTTTCGTCTAATTGCTTGATACTGACGCGAGTGTAATTTTTCATCAGTTCTGCCTCGCGTATCTTGTCCTTGGACGGGAAATTCTAAAACACAAGAAAGAATCGAGAAAACGATCTGACCGCATCGTGAGAAGGACTCGATGAACTCACTGCTAAAAATCCTTGCAGTATCTGCAGATCAATGTTAAAGAGCGTAAATTTTATGTGCTGAGAGATATCGAACGTATTGTTCAGCTCGTTGAACACCCCGAGCGTCGTCAATGCTTCCGAGATGGACTCTATAAACTTTTTCGTATCATACTATAAAACAAAATGAGAAAGATACATTTGTTTGTACGTTTCCATTGAGAGAGGGTTTCTTTTATAATATCGCGATTGATCCATATACTTTGCACGTTTTGTATTCCATATACAAATTTTCCAGATCCACTGTCTCTTTCTCCCGCTTGGGTCGTTTTGCGTAACAGGGATCGTTCGTTTCGTCTATCTCAAAAGGATTGTTGTATGTCGTCGGGCCTATTCTAAAGGTGAATTGCTTCGGAGAATATTCCTCGAGATCCGGGGCAACGTCGAACAATAAAGCGCTAGAAAATTAGAAAAACGAACGAGAAGTATATTATATGAACGCGACGTGCGATATTTTTGTACGGTCGTTGTCTTCAATCTCCTACCTGTTATGTAGTAATAGTCTAGCAAGTAGCTCGGTAAAGCTTGTATGATTTTCAGGCCATGTTTCATTAGTGTAAAATTTGTCTACCTTATCTAACGCCTCTCTCGCTATAAGGAAAATGTTATACCATTTGTTGTACATTAAACTTGTATTCAAAGTTAGAGATTAATTAGACGTGTGATTTCTCTGTACCCAGCTTGATCCTTTCTGTTTGATTGATGTTCTTATATTGCACGCAGCTGTTGTAATAGTCGGCGAAAAGGGACGATATATTTTCCTCATTTTCTTTCTGCATTTGTCCTGATTCGAATTAAAATAAAATGTTTTACATGCTATTTCTTTATAGAAATTATTATAAAAATGTTAGAAAAAATAAGGAAAAGTAATTTAAAAGATGCTTCACGTGCAAAAAATTAAAAAAAATATTTAAATAATTGTTTATTGATAAAATAATTTAAGTAATTATTTATCGATAAAATAATTTTTTTTTATGTAGTAAAAAAAAAAAAATAGAATAATACGAACTTAAAATGCGTTGATAAGCTACATTTTCCAAATCCCATTCTACAGTTTGAGGATTGGCCTCGAAACCACCGCAAGCGTACTCGTAAAAATCTTCACATGGATCAATTGTATGATTCATATAAAATAATATCTTGCTAGCTAAATTTTTGCATTCGCCCTCAAGACATATTGATTTATCAATCGGTGAACTAGAAGTTGCAGTTAATATTGTAGGATATGTAAATACATCTTGTTGATTCATAGTGATAGATTCGATCGTAACATTTTCTTCTTTCATTGCCAATTTGGTAATATCTGCTTCAATCGACTCTTCGACCTCATTAGGAGTTTCTCGATAATCTATGAACGTAGAAGTAGAAGTTTCCACAGTATATTTGTCTATAGTATCTATTTCTTGATATTTTTTTATCTCTTTTATTATCAATTCAGTAATATTTGCTTCAGTCGAATTTTCAATCTCATTAAGAATTTCTTGATCATCTATAAATACAAGAGTGGTAGCTTCCGTAGTATCTGTTTCTTGAAATTTTTCTGCCGAAATTGATGTACCATCTTCTGTAATATTAATATTAATTACCGAAGAAGTGTCCAATTTTTCAGTTACAATTTCATTGTAAATTTCCGTCTGTGATAGATCTATCGTGACAGCTTCAATGTTAGATTTAGATGAATCAATTATATTCGAATTCGTTTCATTTTCCACACTCGAATTGCCGGTAAATACTTCAAAACTCTCTGTTGTTTCATGTTTTTCTATTTCTATTTCTATTGAATTGTTTTCATCCACAAAAGTTGTAGTAGGTAATAATTTAATTGGCTCCATACTACTAGTCGTTCTTTCTGTTTCATGCTTTATATGATGCTGTATGGATGTAATTATTTTTAATTCTAAATCGAATCCTTCTTTTTTATAATTTTTATAATATCAAAAATAAGCTTACCTGTATTGTATTTATGTATTCATCTTTTTCTTCGGAGTTGTAATAGCGGTATGATTTCCACGGTAAATTGACTAGGATGAGAACAACGCAGAAAAAACAAAATATTAACAATGACGAAACACAACTTCTGTAAGATTGATCCCTTTCGGCTGCTCTCCCTTCTACCACATTGGCAAGTTGATAAGATCCTCGAGAAGGCATCTTTTAAAATGAAATCTACTACTTATTTATATATGCATTAATTGCACATCAGTTTCACTTATGCATAAGAGTACTACGTTTTTTCTACTGAACCAGACTTGAAATGCTAATAGAATAAAGAAGGTGATTATTATCGTTTTACCAACCACTTCCTTTTAAGCATTATCTTGAAATGCGTTCTAACATCCGTAAGATACGATAAGATACAACATCCTTTTAGTAATTTATAAGAAAGAACAACGAATGCATTACTATTAGCATATTAAAAAGGAGTTGTGTAGAATGAAATACGCTCATTGACACAAACATTTTTTTCTTTAATACATCCATAAATTCCAAATGGCCTAAGGAAGGCGACATTAAAAATATTTGAGATAGATAGATATAAGTTATTTATATTAATATATTTTATAATACAATTATCACAGATATGTAAACTACAAAATATTATATATACTATTATAAAATGCAACTTGCAGTTTGCCAATGATCCCATTGCACGTAGTATGTCAACTTATCTACAGCCTAAACTATATTGTAATATTTAAATACAATTAAAAAATATATTTAAAAACTCTATTCGCCTTGTACCGAATATGTATCAGTGTTGCGTTTGATTTCATTGTCCGCTGCGTCAGATTTGATAAGAGTGTCGATTGTTGGACCGATCTCTTTTGATACAGAAATGTTCTCTACTTTTTTGGTACAGATTTCGTCTCTATAGCCATCAGACTTCAACATCTCAGAGGTGATCTGAAACATGAATAAGTATGTAATACTGTAAATTACTGCATAGTAAATAGTTTATTAAGTTATACGGTTATATGTATTATAATTACTTTTCTTTGTATTTCGTCAGCCTTAAATTTCTCTAGTTTTTCCTTATCAGCAAGCCCAATTGCAGTCTTTGAGGATGTCTGTCTCTTTGGAGTAGGTTTCCTTGGTTTAAATGATCCAGAAGCTTTCTTAGGCAACTGTGAACTCATGTGCTTCTTAGTCTCATTCGACTGATCGCAATTATGAGTTAGCAATTGTTCTTTAGTTTTAAATGCCTGCAAAATGAATTTTGAAAGATTGAAATGAATTATGAATTTTTTATAAATTCAAACAAATGAAACACTTACATGTGAACAAATTTCGCATTTTAAACTATGTTTATTCATCTCATGATGCTTAAGAGCTTGTGCCCGATGGAAATTACGATTACAATGACTACAACTAAATCTTTTGATATTGCTGTGCGTCAATAGATGACGCTTCAATTTATCAGGTCGTGAAAATTCACTCATACAACCTAAGTAAGTTCTGAATGGGCACTTTAATCTCTTTGTTAAATCATGAATCAACATATGACGACCTAAACGATCTTTCCGCTTGAATCTAGCTGGACAATGCTATAACAAACAAATTACGTATATATAAAATGTAAAATAATTTATAGATTTTTTTAGATTGACTATTAAGATTTAGATTGACTATCACTCACTGGACATAGGAACGGTGTTTCCTCGCTGTGTATTAACTTATGATTGGCTAAATATTGCTCAGTTTTAAAGGCCTTTCCGCAATCCTCACAAGCAAATCGTGCGGATGAGGCGTGTGTTTTCAAATGACGCCGCAAAAATCGTTCGATTAAGAAACTCTTTCCACAATGTAGACAAGCATAGTCGTGCGTTGTAGTTTCTGTATGATGTTGTAAAGCCTCCAAATTAGAGAAAGAGGATTTACAAACGGAACAACAGTAATATTTTTCTGTTGTTTTTTGTTTTTGGACGGAGTGAGCGTATTGATGAAGCCCAAGATCAGATAGAGTATTAAACACTTCACCGCACACGTGACAACGATATTCCGATCTCTTATGACTGCGTGTATGTTCTAAGAAATCTTCGAGTTCAGCAAACATCATACTACAGCTACTTTGCACACATTTGTACACTTTCAATGCTAAATGAGAGACTATAAGATGCCCCTTTAGAGCTTTGTACGAATCAAATATTTCTTTGCAGAACTGACAATGATAGGTGCGATCTATGCTTCCATCCGGTGGTACCTAACAATAATTATTAAAATGAATTATCAAAAAAGATATATATTTAGTCATCTTTGGAATAAAAAAATTGTAAGCCTAAATGTCAAAAACCAAAATGTTAAAAATACCTCTGGAGGTAAGGAGTGTATAGCGGTTCCCGGCCACACTTTATGTGATGACATATGTTTTTTAACGTTTGATTTTTGTGCGAATGCACGTCCGCATACAACACATTGATATGGTTTTTCTCCTGTATGAGAACGTTCGTGTTGTTGCCAATAAAATTTTTTTGAAAATTGTTTGCTGCAATAACCACACTTATACTGCAATAGAAACTTTCTATTAATAAATATACAACTTTAAATTATCAATGGTAACAAAAATTTATTATCTCATCAAAATACATACTTTCAAGTTTTGCGTTTGATTAGTAGTAGTTTCAGATTCTGTTATTAGATTTTCAGTCGTAGGTACATCAATTTTATCTGTATTGTTAATGTTTTGTTCTTGAGAAATATCACTTTGGAGAACTTGAGGTACATCGTTTGAATCATCTTTTATAGGATCATTATCCCCTGGAATAGTAGAGTTTGCAAAAGTATCCAAACCTTCTGAACTTAATATAATTGGAACACTAAATGTGGAATCTGTTGTAAAGTAATTAGCACCCTCTTGATCCATGCTATAATATTTGAATGGTACATTATTTATTAAGAAGAAAATATCTTTTAGTATGATAATTATAAATTATATATTTACCTAAATAGCATATCAGATTCTTCAAGTATAATTGGTTCACTAAGTTGATCATTTTGAACAAATGTTTCTTGATTGAATTGTGATACATCTTCGCTATTGTCTTCTGTGTGAACAGTCTGAGTTTCATCATTCACCAAAAACTGACTCAAATCTACTGTTTGCTCTTGTGTTTTTTGATGTGTCCTTTTGTGCAACACGAACATGTGCAATGATGTAAATTGGCTTTTGCATTTTCCACACTGAAATATATCTTCCTCATCCTGATCGATTGCTAAATACGAAACACAAAAATGTTCAAATATTTGTAGAAATATTTACAAAAGTTTGTCTCCACAATGAACAATCATCAGTTGATAGGTTATGAGTATTACTTCATCAAAAACTCACCTGAATCTTCAACTTCAGTTATTAGAGTTTGAGACTCTAATAACGATTGCACAGAAGGACTGTCCAATGATACACCTACAAAACAGAAAAAATAATCATCCTAAACCTCTCAAATACTATGTAGTTTCTTTTAGAAAGAGAAAGATAAATAAGATACTTGTGGGTTAACCCCACCTATTTCTACGATAGAAAAGTTTTACCTGTTAAAGCGTCGAAAATAGATTGCGCCATGTTTTACAATGATATTAACGCTTCATTTTAAGCGAAATCAACGATCAGGCTTTCATGAATCGTATAATATGAAGAAAATGAACAAATTCCAAGTCGAAAACATACCGAGAATTTCTACGCCCTGCCAGCGTTGTTGCTGACCAGGTCAGCGAATGATAATCGATATGTCGACTGCTGAAACGATTCTAACCTCAAAATAGGACAGGTCGTCTTGTAACGTGAATTTGGTAGAGTGCGTTAGAATAAGACGCACAAAAAAAAGTGGGTGTGTAAATATTTTCTTAAAGTAGTTTTCGAAACAGAAAAATGACAGCGATATTACGTGTGAAACGTAGGTACGATGATGAGCCATTAAATGCTCTTGTAATTTCATGTAAGCGACAAAAGATTGTAGAAAACGAAGAAGCCGAAGATGCATCATCAGTTCCTCTAACCACATTTGCTAAGTTTGCTGGGACCGTTAAACAACATGTTTGTATTAAAACACGAGTCATTTCTAACAAATTGAACATTATTTTCAGAGTAAATTAATATTTACTGTATTTTTACAGGACGAGAATGTTGAACATTTAATTCAAACTTATGCAAAAAATGAAGGGCGAATGCATTCGAAACAACACTTTACGGATGTCCTGAATAAAATAAGGGAAACAACAAAGCAGGCTTCGGCAGAAAATCGTTACAAAGTAGTTAATTGTTTTCGATCTTTGGATAATTCGAACGCGGAAAATTCAGAAGAAACAGTTGTGACTGTAATAGATGTGGAGGATTCGAAATCTATAATAAAGGATTCTGTAGAAAAGGTAAATGATATTTTTTAAACAGTTTTTGGTTATTTCAGTGAGCAATTATTTACATAATATGAATAATGTTTTACAGGATGATAATTATGTATACGATTTATATTATGTTCAAACCGAGAATGACATGTACTTGGATGAAGATGTATGTGTACATCCATTCAATTATTTAGTTCATGATACTTATGAGAATAATGGCTATCCTGAAGCTGAATATGATTCAGAGGATTCTAATTCAGAGTCAAATTGGAGAAATGATTATCCTGATTCCGACTCTGAAGGATCAATCGATGAAGACGATATAAGAGCTGCAATTATGAATATGAGACTAGAAGATGAATCAGACTTATCTGAAGAAGATGATTTTATTTATGCAGTTGATGAAAGTGATGTGGACGCTTATGGTTACAAATACGCGAGATATAAGGCAAGGATGAAACAAGAATTGAAGGAAGATGATGATGATGATGATGATCACCTTAGTGGTCTTAGTATAAATGTGTCTGAGAATTCAGACGAGGAATGTAGTGAAGTAGAGTAAGCAAGTCTTTTTATACAAAAAGAAAATAAGTTAAGTATCAATGCAATATACATATTTCATATTGTGTAATAATTTCAGTTAATGAAATCAATATATCTTTATTTTATAATTAAAATTGTTTTCCAAATATGAGATTTTCCCACTACGTAGAAGTAAGGGTCATAAAGATCTTAGTATTTTATTCATGTCTATATATTTATTACATATTTATATAGATATACTTTGTATGTAAAATTCATCTATCAAAATAAAAACAATAAAAGGTAAACCTAGATGTCGAAGTGACAAAGGAAGGTGTGTAGGTGTTTAGAAAAAGAATCGTTTTCGACGATATGGCATATAATAATATACCAGATTTATAATGTATAACAAATTATTGGAAGTACCAGATAGAGATTTACAAATGTTCAGCAATCAAGTAGCTTCTCCGTGATGTGTTATTAAATCTTCTGTATTTATTTTATAATGGAATATTGTGAATCTTGCTTTCCTTTAGACAGTAATTAGCAGGAGGCCTGTAAATAACATAACAATTACTTTTATAAAAGTATTTGCGATCCTTCGCGTTTTATCTGACTATACTACTCGCCGAAATATGAAAACAATTTTTATATATGTAACTGAGATTTTTCGGATCCGTTGTGCTATTATTCAATGTTGGACAACGTTCGGATTACAACATTTGCGTACATATTTCTTCTTTTTTGCTCTCCTTTCTCTCTCGCTCTCTCATTCTTTCTCTCTCGCTCTCTTTCTCATTCTTTCTCTCTCATCGTCAACATTCACACGCGAAAAAATTCATTTAACGAACTCGTTATGTGATATGAATAGTACGCTGCGTATACGTGTAATACTGGCCTTAATTCTAATTTTTACATTTACGCGCTCGCAAAGAATCCATCAGTTGTATACAAGTACAGACGATGCTTCATCTTTTTTTTTCTTTTTTCTTTTTTTGATTGCAGTGTGTAACGAAGAAAATGCGTTAGTAAAGATCCAATTATACCGTATCCGGAATTCGAAGAGAAATACTAAGGGCCATTAATTTATCTTTACTCTCTCGTTATTATACGTTGGAGAATGTTGGCAAAGCGATAGGAAACTCCGACCTTTCTTATGGCAGTCTGGATACAGTTATCAACGTACTTACTTGCCGAGAGTATGAGCGCGACTTATGGACAATGAAATCATTTATTTATATATAATATATTAAATGTCATATTGCAACTTAGCGTTTTCACAAGCTGAGAATTGGTATCATTCAGGATTATTACTATATAGTACCGTAATACTCTACTCGGCTACTGTACAACATTTTACACTCATCGTTACTTCCGTAATTCTTTAGGTATGTGTCGATTATCAGTTATTGAGATTATTAAAGAGTCATGAGATTGCACACCTTATACGAGATTATTAAAGAGTCATGAGATTGCACACCTTTCGTATCGGTCGATCGTGACGTATAAGATCAGCTGTATCGTGAATCTAATTGCAACTATGATCTCTTTCGTATATAGACTTATATATCTATCTCCATTTGACAGTTTCACTCTGGTGTATATTTCGTTTTACATTCTCGTACAATATCCAATCTTATTCTTACCTAATCAATCCAAAGTGAACTATCAAACATCGCCACGATCACCTAACTTTCCTCTTGCTTCTACTTAACGTTTTAGCTTCACGTTTCACGCAGCTCCTTTTTCACGATCGTTCACGCACGTATGTACACGTTGGATAACTGAATTTATAAGTACAAACAATTCCCTGGATTAACAGAAATCACACAACGGTAATCAACTAAATCGAATAGTCGGCAATTTTATATATATATATATATATATATATATATAAACTGGCAACAATTAACAGTCCCATCGGGTATCGAGAGTCTTTTTAAAGTACTGACGCCGCGTGATTGCTCGAATTATTATTATTATTGTTGTTATTGTTGCTCGCCTCGCCGACATGACTCGAGCAGTAGAACTTCTTGTGAGCGATGAACGTGTCCAAGTAATTGAAGCTGATATCGCACGACCTACAGTAACACGGACCACTCTTGTTTGGGTACGAGCTTTCAAGAGGTGGCGTATCTTCGCGTTCTTGTTTTACCTTGTTAGTCACCGTCGGCGGTGGTGGCGGCGGTGGCGGTGGAGGTGGTTGAGGACTCTTTCGAACTTCGGTCTTTCCATTCACTTGCACCTCGCCAGGGATTTCCTCGGGAGTCGTAGCTGGGGCAGGTTCCGGTGTCGGCAGAACCGTTTCGTCATCAAGTACGCACGTTATGTAATTCTCTTCCTACAAATGACAAATTAAGAAATTTATCAGATGAAGATGATATCAATCGGAGGGCGCAAGATGATGTATGTCTCCAAGTTTGCCTCTCTTCCCCGGGAAATGAGTATGGTATGATTCGCGTACCTGTAGATCGGTTCCGCGTTTCTCAAAGTGCATTTTGATGTGGGTTCTCATTCCTCGTAATGTATTTCCTTTGTAACGACAGATCGTGCACCTGAAAGCTTTGACACCCTGATGAGCATCCATGTGACGTTGAGCTGCTCCGGCTGTTGGACTAACTGCACCGCAAACGGGACATCTCCAACCTCCGGTTGGACCGCTAGTACAAGTATGAGTGCCTCCGGGTTCAATTATAGTCTGAAAGGGAATACGTTAAATCTTCAATCTTTAAAAAAAAATATATTGTTCGATTTATTCAGCGAAAAGGCGAAAAATCGAAATTTCCTGTATGAAAATTTCGATAGGATAAATACATATGTAATATACAGGGTGTTTCGTAACTTGTGGAACCCACTTCGGGAGCTGATTGTACGCCTAAAAATAATGAAAAAAAAAGTCATATAAATATATGTGATATAATGAACTTTCTCTTTTCATTACTTTTACAAAAGATGCTCAAAATGACCACTTTGCATACGAAGACAAGCCTGCACGCGTTTTGTCATTGATCAATGGTTATTCTCTTTACCATTCCTGGTGTTTCTTGAATTTGTCGGAAGCCTTGCTCTATTCTATTTCGTAGTATTTCAATCGATGTTGCGTATACAATCGATTTTCTTTCATGTGACTATTTGAAGATTCAGCAAATTTCGCAATACTCTCTAAATCAGTTCAGTTCTTACTAATAATCGTAATAATAATAATAATAATAATAATAATAATAATAAAATACTCGTAATATTCGCTCCATTATCACTTCAAACACGATCTTATACGACATGTGTATATATATATGTATATAATCGTATGTATTTATATGTATATATATAATATAAAATATATATTATTGTATGTATTTATCCTATCAAAATTTATATATACGTATATATATTAGAGGTGTGCGAAAACCTAGAAATATCGGGATGGTCGGGACGAGTCGGGTTCCCGAAAATTTCGAGACTCCCGAAGGAATCGGGTTTCCCGAACAAGTCGAGATTCCCGAAAATTTCGAGAACCTGGCTACCGTTTACCGAAACTACACTACTCTGTGTTATATAACAACCTTTAAAATATGTAAATACACAGTTCAATTTCTTCTGTCAGTTTCCGTGAAGTTATTAGAAACGCGGATTCTAAGAATCGTACGACCTGATGTATACAAACGCGTGACTGCGTGCTTAGTACTTGGATATTATGTACGCTGTTGAGCAGTATCGCTGAGAAACTCGGGAAGTTCAGACGTATATTTCAAAATCTGTGTGAATTTAATAAAGACAGTGTCGAGTGATAGTGAGTGATAGTGAGAGTAAAGTTGTGGTAGCAGGAATTAGTGCAGAAGATATCGTGCAAAGAAAGAAGGTAAGAAAGCTCTGTTTGGGAACATTTTCAGGGAAAAAATGATACAAAGGCGGAATGAACGCATTGTCACCATGAATTTAAAACTAGGTATGCAAATAGTACTGATTTATTACGCCATTTGAAGCATATGCATCCAAACATAAGTATATGTACTGGAAAAGAAACTGAATCGATATAAAATTTGTCGCGTGTACAAAATGATACGCGAAAGATTGTTAAACCAAAAGATATAACAGAAGGAATTGTTCGAATGATGGTTCTAGATCTGCGATCTTTCGATATAGTTGAAAGCGTGGGCTTTAACGAATTATTTGAGCTTGTTCCCAATTTTTTCCCAAGTCCCAACTCTTTCGGGAATCCTGACTTTTTCGGAAATCTCGACAAATTCGAAAATCTCGAAATTTTCTGGTATCCGTCCCAATCACGAAAAAAATTTCGTGTTCCCGACTCGATATTTCGGGTTCTCGCACACTTCAAATATATATATGTATATATATATATATAAAATAGGCACTAACTTTGCATTTGGAGCAACGCGAATGATGTTCCTGAGGTTCTGGCCTTTTGGGACAGTAAAACGCTTGATGAGTCACTAGATTATCCATAGATGCGAACTTGATGCCACACGCGGCGCAGATTAACTGCACCAAAGGGGGTGAGGGTGTACCAGGTGGCGGAGAACTATTGCTGACCGTTGTTTCTCTCGCCTGGCAATAATGCTTTTTATGCACGACGTAATTTTCATGCTGGCAGAACACGATGTTACATTCTTTACATCTGTAAATCAAACGATATTCTATATAATTTAATGATCGTCCTAAATTTCGTTCTTCCATACAGTATTTGCAATACGAATTGCTTATCGACTATTTTTATTTCTATTTTTATTTTTATTTTATTACAACTACATAAAAAAAAAAAAAAAATTGTATTAGGAAAACGTCAAGAGCAGGTATCTTACCTCGAGACACCGTGCTTCACAAGAACACCAGGAACAGGCGGTGGCGGTAGCTCAGCCAGTCTGAGAGCGAGTTCCGTCGGTGGAGGAGGTGCAACAGTTCCAGCTGCCGTAGGAGTAGAACCGATCGATCTTGCTCTAGGACTTCCGCTTCCTCTGGACCTTGGACTGCCAGGTGGAGGAGGCAGAGAAGAAGGTGCCGGCGACACCCTGTTCTCTTTCTCGTCCCGATGAGTCGGCGATTTTCGAACACTCAGATCGAGTGGCGCTGAGCCTAACGGCGACGTGGACGATGCCACGACAGATGCCGGTGTCGTTGGTTTGTTCGCTGCTCGGAGAACCGGCGAAGGCTCGACCACGGCGTTCTGCGTCGTGGTGGCGAGGCCTCTTGTCATCGGTTGAAGATGACCTACAACAAAGTGAAACTCAAGTCAATTTCAATTCAAGATAAGTGAATTCAATCGCCAGGAAGTTAAGTTAATGGCGTTCGACCGTGACATAGGAACAATTAAATTTTGAAACAAATAACTAACTCGTCGTAGATTATCCAAACCTCTCAACCTAAAAAATCGTTAAAATTTAACATCAAACTTGACAAAGCGATCCGTGTGATTAACGTCGGAATGCAAGTAATATAAATTCGTGCAAGTGATATAAATCAAAAATATTGAAACACGTACCGTTCGGAAGAAGGAAGCACGCAGTATCAGGCGCTGGCAAAGTGGGTGCCGCCAGGACACTGGCACCCCGGAACAGAGAGTACGGTACGATCAAAATGGGATTCGTGGGCAGCGCCAGACAAGGCTGCGGAGGCGGCGATTCACCGGGACTCGCGCTCGTCGGTGGCGAAGCTTTCACTGACGAAGAAGCTACCGTAGCCGCCGGCGGTGTGTCTTTAACTACGTGCCTGGTGCTGCAATAGTGCGTCTTGTGCGCTCTGTAAGTCTTCAGAGAGCTGAATCGAATGTCGCAGTTCCTGCAATATCTATCCGCCTCCTCGTTCAAGGAGCCGTTCGAGGCAGTTGCCGCGCCACTTGCCGGAGTGGTGGCCGTGGTCGGAGCAGTCGGTATCGTGGGCGGCGCAGGAGATGCAGCGTGCATCCTCATGTGTCTGTTCAACGAGACCTTCTTGTCCGCGCTGTACGAGCAGTGAGGACAGGCGTACGCTTTTCTCACTTCGAATTTGTTGGATTTCTCCTCGTCTTCTTCGTTGGTGGCGTCTTCCTCGAGCCGGGGACGATGAGCGCAGTAAAACGTGCGATGCGCCTCGAGGGTGCTCGCTGAGCTAAAGCGGATGCCGCACGGGGGACAGATGAGAGGCGCCGGCCTGGCTGGTTCCACGGTGATCGTCTCCTTACCATCGGTCGGAAGTACGAATAGACGACCTGAGGCGATTGCTGCAATGTTAGTTTCTTCGAGTAAGTTACATACTGTCTGTCTCCGTGTAACAATTTAACAGACTTGCGAACGATCGAAGGTGCAATTGTCAAGAAATCGTATTAATCGTCATTAAAATCGAGGATGAAAATTGATTGAAATGATTGTTACCATTTTGAAGTCCAGCCGGAAGGGGTGGCACAGGATTCGGCGGCGAGGTATTCTCCGGTTTGACGGTGAGCGCAACTACGGCGGCGGGTCGAAGAGCAGGATCCGTCGCCAGACTAGGATTGAGTCTCAGTCTTGGTGCAGGTTCGTCGTCGAGTTTCAGCTTTTTCTCCTCCGAGTCTCTTCTACACATGGATTCTCGTCTTCTAATCGAGGACGACGAAGAGGACGACGATCTCGGTTGACAGTCTTCTTCCTTGACCATAACCAGGTTGGACTCATCGTCCGTATCTTTTGGGCTGGACTCTCGCGTTTGATTGGGTTTCGAGGTGACATGTCGCTCTCTCAAGCTTCTTGCAACCTGTGCGAGTTATTAAATAGTCATTACTCGTTCATTTTTACACCTAGACTGATCGAACGTCGTAGAAATTAAGCTTTACCTCGATATCTTCGGTAAGTCGTTTCCGAGCGTCTTCGGAGAGCACGCTGAGCCTCAATCGGATATCCTCAGCGGCCGAATTGGCGATCGCAACGGACGAGGAAGGAGGATTCAGTCTCGGTGGTGGCGGCAAACTCGATTCTTCTTCGACGACCGGCGCGATCGGGCTGGAAACCGCTGATCCACCGCCCTCCATTCCGCTGCTCACCGATGGTGTCTTCTCCGAGTCGCTCCATTCCTCATCCTCCCCTGAAACCGTAAGAAAAGGACGTCACCTTTACTTTCTTTCAATTCAATCTCAATCACAAAAAGAACACCGGAATATAACACTCGATTTCATCTTTATGAAAATTTCTTCAATTTTAATAAAACTGATTCAACCAATAAGAATAAACAACAACGATACAACATGTATGTATTGATAAATGTCTAATCAAATATCTCTATGTTTCTACATTTTTTCAAACTGTTCCAGTTCACGAATTCTTCGGAAACGACCATGGCCCACGTGGAAGAAACGGTCGTCGTCTCGGCGGTGCCGGAAGTGGCGGGAAGAAGGCGAGAGGAAAGAAGAGAGGAAAAAAAAAGAAAAAGAAAAATGCCCAGCACGCACGTTAAACGATGCGTCTCTATGGCCGTTCGGCTCCCTAATGGTTGTTCGCCACGCCAACCTTCGCGTACCCTCTGTTTCCCTTCCCTTCTGCCGTTCCTTCCGCCTATCTCTCTCTATTCGTCTATCTATCCCTCTACCAGGCCACCCCACTCGCTGCACCCTTCGCACGCCTCTGCTAGATCCCCACCATCGTTCGACGAATTCGCTTCCACGCCGAAAAGGGGCTGCCCTCGCGTCGAAATCTCGAATAATCTCGACACTATGGGGGTTGTTCGGCTTATTTGCTCATCCGCGGCACCCTTTCGCAGAGAACGCGTTTTGAAAACACTTTTCTCCACGATTCGGAGGTAAGTTTCGTTACATTTCTGTACGCTAGAGTGTTACACTCTGATTAAAAACTCGGTTATAAAGGTAGAATTTTGTTTTCGATCTAAAATTTGATTTGGGGATTGGGGAAACTAGTCTGCGAGAAGATTCTCTCTTAGACGGTTTCAGAGATCGAGGAATTTGGGGTTTGTTTCACCCCAGTGTATTAGTTTTGTGGCATACTGAAATAGTCTTATCTTTTTCTCTGTGATCCTTTTGCGACTCAACCCTAGACGTGAAGTATTTTCTACCTGAAAAAAAAAAAAACCAATATCTAGGAACACTTCAAAAGCTTACCGAATTGTAAGAATAATACTAGTCTAATTGTTACGTTAATTCGACTTGGGGTAATATCTGAAATTGATTGACTCCTAAGATTTTTTTTCCCGTATCGTATAAAAGACGGGCAACGATTTATCATATTTTTCTGTCAAATACAATAACATTTGCGTTTAATCAAATTACAGACTACACCAGAAATCAACAATCCCATCTACATCCCATTCGTGAAAAATCCTGTTGCCAAGCAGCAAAACGAGCCTCGACACGCAGCAATCGACACCTCGGATCATCGTATCACTCTCATCGTCGGCTCCTCTCGTTTCCCCTTTGCGATCCTTCTCGCGGATATATCCAGCAAAGCGGCAACGGTGCAAAACGGAGTACACCGTCCAGGTGGGTTGTCCTCGAAATCGAGACGACACGCGTATCGTCCGTCGAATTACCCGGATGCTTTAATTGCCTGCTTGGGCGAGGCTGCTTCTCGTTCGTAACGCGAGTGCGAGAGAAAGGAAGGAGAACGAGAGAAGAGGCAAGAGGAGGCAAGAGATGCTGAGGTAGATTGGGACAAAGGGTTGCAGCGCACTTCTAGCCTATCCACGGCTTGCATCTACAGCTCGGTCGTGTTCCTTCTGCCTCTCTGTAAATAAGCGGTCATCGATGGATCGGGCCGACTCTCTCGCCGCGTTCCTCTCCTCGTTCCGTCCTCTCCTTTTCCTAATGCTATCTGCCTTCGAGTCCCTATTTCTTGCAGTCCGCAGCAGCTTGTCGTTGTTGCTCGTTCCACGGGGGCGAGGGAGTCTGTCTCAGCATTCTTAATTGCACGCGCGTACAAGCTACCTGGGACCGCGGGACACGCTCGTCCCGCGTTTACGCGCGAGCTTCGGAGTTGATCGAAATTGTGAAACGTTTCTGTTATTTCATCGGTCCTCCTCGTTTCGGGATCGTTCCCGTTTAAAGCTAGGTGTCGCGAGTTGCTCTCGAGAATATTTCTCGCAAATGAATGCGAGTTTTCTCTGTTCTGAGAGTTACTGTCCGAGAGCATCGCTCAATTGTCTGAGAGACGACGTGTAGCGACCTGCGCGCAAATGGACACAATATTACACTGCTCTCGGAGAGTTGCTTTCAGAATTCGAAACGGTTTCGAAGTCCTGAGACTACTCTCGTGAGAGCAGAATAATGAATAATAAACAAAAGTGTGGTCAAAAAGTGAAATTATTAATTAATTTCTTTTAATTTAAATTATTATATAATAATTATATTATATAATTAAATATTTTATAATAATTATATAATATAATCATTATGTAATAATTTAAATATATATAAATATAATATAATATAATAATTATATAATAATTTAAATATTATATATAAATATTATTACATATAAATATAAATATTATATAATAATTAAATTATTGAACTCTTCTTTTTATGTTGATTGTTCTTTTTTCTTAAAATATTACGGGCAATTATGAGAGCACACATTTTTTGCACCTCCATGCGATGTTACTGTTCAAACTCGTGTTTCAAACGAAACATCACAATGAGTAGGACCAGAGATAATGAACTCTCAAATAGACACAACGCTTGAGAGTAACTCTCGCGAGAAACTTTCAAATGGACTTCAGTTTTAATCTGGAAGATTTCCGCGGAAATCAGCATGATACTTTGTTTCCTTTAATGGTGTTTTCGATTTGAAACGCCACCGGAAGATCTTTACGGCATAACAGAAAATTCCCAAATATTCAACTAAAAGAGTTCTTTTACAAAATAGAAGGTGTTGCGAGTCACCGCTAAATTCTCTTCCTAATTCCAATCCAATATTTCATATCACGCGACGATAGAACAAAAAGCATAAAAATGTCCAACCAAATGTCGCCAGTGTTGAATAACTCTGTTAACTATCCAGGAAGCAAACGATCGAGCTCAATAAATTGCATCTTGCGCTTCAGCATCTGCGCGGTTGAAATCGCCGGCCGGTCACAGGACAGGCTTGACGTTGAATCTCTTTCTCGTCGAGGACATTCTCTCTCTCCTCCCTCTCTCGAAACGACTCTATCAAGCACGAACGATGTCCCACGACGTGAACTATTAAACTCGCAAACGCTCGGTCGGTCGCCTCTATCTGCCTTTCATTCTCGTTACTGGCTTCGACCATTCTTAATTGCACGTGCATGCAAACGTTCAACGGCCGATCGAGAGGGCTGCACCTTGCTCGCCTACAACCACCTACTACAATCGCCACCAACCACCTCCGGCTTCGTTGAGGGTGTAATATATCTCGAAAAGAAGACGGTGGTGGTAGTGGTGGTGGTGGTGGTGGTGGTGTTGGCCGATGGTGGAGGGCAGATGGGGGCACGGGGAGGCAAACACGGCCGCCATTAACATATCCGCGGGCTGATAAGCCATTCTCAGAACCGATACCGCGCCCGTGTACACCTTCGGCCCCGCTTTATGCGAGAAACGAACAGCCGCGTGAGAAACGGAGTTCGGAAGCTCTCCTGCTCTCTGCCACTTACGCCATTGTTCCCTTTGTTGCGAGCGGTTTTAATTGAATTTAGACAACAACCGCGCCTGTTACCGTTTCTGACGTTTCTTTTCTTCGGAGCTTCGATTTCTTTCGTCTGCTTGGCTTTGGGGATTCTTCCACCACGCGAGAGTCGATCGAACCCTCTGCAGTGGAAATAATGTAACTCTCGCGGCGAGAAGTTTTTATTTTCAAGAAGAAGGACTGTGACTGATGGCGGATTTTTAATCTGACGACTGACTGACTGTGAGAAACGATAATTAGGTCTTTCAAACTCTGTTCTTGCAACTTTTAAGATTTCTTTTTTTTTTTCTATACGAGTAGGAGCGTGTAGAAAAATGTACTTTGGACTTTTATTTTCGAATTTTGCAAATCACGCGATAATTTTTGAGGTTTTGTTTAAGCTAGTTCCTTGGTTGTTGAAGACTACATTGTGTGTAAAGAGCAAATACGTACTTGATACATAAAAATTGCAGCGTCATAGTCGTAGCACGTGGCACATTTTTCAGTCACGCATTACGTTATAACTTATCGCATGCGTGTTAAAACGCTATATAATGGAACTCTATTTAGCGGTGCAAAATTTAATTAATCTCCGATCAATTAAATCCATTATTGAACTGAAAAATACGATAATAGAAAACGATAGATAATAGAAAACTTTGTCAAGTTTTATTATACTTTCATTTATTTTCGTATTTCTGCTACTAGACAATTTTTTTCGTCTTCCAAAGATTAGCACACTGTTATTACAAATAAAAGTTTTATTATTTTTATAGTATATTTTTACTACTAGACAATTTCTAGTAATAAAAATATATTTTATAGTAGTAAAACTATATATATACTATAAAATATATTTTTACTACTATATTTTACTATATATTTACTATATATTTTTACTACTTTTATATTTACTATATATTTTACTATATATTTTTACTACTTTTATATTTACTATATATTTTACTATATATTTTTACTACTATATTTACTATATATATATACTATAGTTTATTTTATAGTATATATAGTATATATATATAGTTTTACTACTATATATATACTATATATTTTATAGTATATTTTTACTATTAGACAATTTCTTCCATTTCTTTCGTCTCCAAAGATTAGTACACAGTTTGTTACAAACTATAATATGGTATTTACAAAAATCCTAAATTTCATATTTGCATCGCCATCAACCGCGATTTTCGAACGATCATCCCTGATACGTATTTGTATCATTTCTCTCCGTCCTAATCATCGCGAACAAAGGTCGACTTGTGCTCCTTTCCTACTCCCAACTCGGGACCGGTCATCCGCCGTATTGGCTAAACGCGTAGTCCAGCTAACACCCAAAGGAAGGATGATACGATGGCAGTACATTGGTGGCAGGAAAACGAGCGCAACGGTAGCAGCTTCATCGGCGCTATGCAAATAGGATCCTGATCGTGA